ATATATATGGCCTGAGTGGCACCGCATGGAGGCGCATGCAGCACAAGGCCTGGGATCCCCTCGCTCCTTCTTATCAGCAGCTTAAAATAAATATTTGCTCCTTTTTTACAATTTGCGCACTGGGGCTGTTGGTACTATTCAAGGCTTAAAAATGGAAACTGTCGCCACCTTTAATTAAAAAGTGTAAAAGCCAATAAGAGATATTGGTGCCAAAACAGATGCCTCTGGTAAGGCTGTATAAGTCATGAATATAAGTAGTAATAAGTAGCTAATTCACCATTATTCCTGCAAGGACCTCGTGTACAGGCAAGCCAAGCTTTCACTTTCTGTATTACTTAAGACAGTTACGTTCATATTCTCTCTTTTTTGTTGTTGGTGTTTGCTTTTTTTAATTTTTACAGTTTTATAATTATATTCAGATTTTACAAAATCACAAATATTACCTGAGGTGGTCTTATTGGAGTGTAATATATGCGTAATAACAGGTGTTCATGGTCGAGGATTGGGCCCACATCTTACACGCCGCCATAAATCCATATTTTTATGTGGCTCATAAATAAATAAAAGGCAAACTGTGGGGATCAGTGACACTCTTTGAGTCGACAAGTGCAGTGACAACGACTTGATTTTCCACACAGTAGCTCTTTTTTCCCCCTTTCTTCACTCCCCCAGCCTGGAGGGACCCGTGGCACGGCCCTTATTATGATTTGTTAATATAACCCCTCTGCCTCCTTTAAGCCCATCCCTTTGCTGAATGTACCCACTGCTCATCATGCCACTTTCATACCCTACTGCACTTTCTGTGCTGGGAGAGCAGCAGTGAACCCACATGCACCTCCAAACAATTTTTTTCTTGTGATTTTAAGGGAGATTTTATTTAGAGGCGGTGCTTGTTGGCTCCAGAGTAGCGTCGTAGCGACGACACTTTTCCCTCAGTCCCTGTTAAAAGAGTTTGGCCAGGGCCAGTTGGTGCCGGGGGGTCGCCTATAGCTTAGTACTATCCTGGGGGGTGATTGCTGCGTCTTTTTTTAATCCCAACAGATTTTTTCTATTTTATTTTTTATTTTTTAATTTTTTTTCTACTTCTCTGAATATCGCCATTCTCTCACTCTAAGATCTGATACCCCTTCGAGATTTTTCCTTTCAGATCATGAACAAACTATATGTTGGGAATTTAAGTCCTTCGGTCACTGTCGAGGACTTGAAGCAGCTCTTTGGGGAGAGGAAGCTGCCAGTGGCCGACCAGGTCCTACTGAAATCCGGCTATGCTTTTGTGGACTTCCCCGATCAGAACTCGGCCATAAAGGCTATAGAGACTCTTTCTGGTAAGTGTGGATTTGATAAGTGATGCTGCTGGTGACAGGGAAATTTCACAGCGAGTTTAACTGCAAGACGAGGTTTAAAAAGCACAGTAGGTCAGAGTGTCCGAAATGTGAAATAGGCTGTTAAGCAGCTCTTGTGTTATTTCTTTTACATATATATATATATGTATATGTGTGTGTGTGTGTGAGAGTGTGTGTGTCTGTGTATGTTGTTCGGGACAGTGTTTGCGATCACATCCGTGTGTGCCATCAGAGTTTAGATGAACGCTCAGTCATGCACGCTCCAGCAAAAATTGGATAAATTATCGATCACAGGACACACTTGGGGCTTCAGTGCCCATTTGCTTAAAGAAAGCACGAGTCGTCGTAACGCAATTAACGCGCACAATACCCTATATTTTGGGGATTCCGATAGTGCGGGGCGCTACTTTGCAATCACCCACTGGAATGTATGGGATGGTCTGATGGTTCGGGTAGGCATAATTATTTTTCACTTATTTTTTATCTTGATTTTATTCAAGAGAGCACGGCGAAGCGAGCGCGGAAAACTTGTCAGATTCGTGTTCCTCTGATGTCTGGCTATGTTTTTACGAGGTGTCTTGGAGGTGGGTCACGGGGGTCCAGAGGAAAGAGCTAATAAACAGGTAGCTGAGGGGGGACGAGGTGAGACGCTAATTCCGTGCTGCGCCAGGCCACTCAATAGTAACGAAAAGCCGTGTTTGAAAGCCTCGCCGAAGAGCGCTTCAAATTCACCCTCCGAGCCGGGTCAGCACGGAGAATTAGGAAAAACACCTACCTAGAATAGAAAGAGTACAAGTCAATTCTTCTTTGCAAACCATCTCCTCTTTTGATGTTGCATTCTTTACTGGGAGCTGAAAAATATCCCTCATTGCACTGTGAGGGTTGTGGGAGTGGAAAGCATGGCTGCCCATTTTCCCCATAGTATATAAGCTTATCATGCTTCATTTTGGCGCCGATACCCCCCCAATTGTCACCAACAGGACCTCACCCCGAGTTGGGATTAATGTAAACGTATACAGTTTGTTCGCCGCCGCGCACACAACGCGCCCGTGTACACTACTTTTTTCAGGGGTTGGCTATTTTGAATGGGGACGCACCTACTTGGTGAAGTGATTCAAAGTGTTGGTGTGTAGGCCTACCCAGCTTGCATTGTTACTTTTATGAACACAACAGCTAACGCTACGCTATCAATTGTTTTTCGTCCCTACAGGTAAAGTTGAATTACACGGAAAGGTGATAGAGGTAGACTACTCTGTTCCCAAAAAACTAAGGTAGGCCTACAATCTGTGACACACACGTTCTCCACAAACACACACGCATTGTATCATACGCCTATACTGTGCCCCATGGCAGACTTGTGTGACCTGTAGGCTTCCGCTGTGAAATATAGCGAGCAGATTTTCCCTCTTTTCTCGGCTGCCGTGTGTGATTTCTGCCACGATGTTGCTGCTTTGTTTCCTGGCGATTAAATTGCGATTGTGTGGTGATTAGACAAAGGGAGTTGAAGGGGTGGGTGGGTGTTGGGGGGAGAGAAAAGGGCGATAAAGAAACAGTTTAGTCCCAACATCCGCACAACACACGGTGGCTGCTGCCATATCGCGTGATCTTGCAGCAAGGCCTATCCCAGTTTAAAACATGGACTCACGCGCACACGCTTGACGTGTAATAATTAATATATCCTAATTAAATCTCACCTAAAGGCTGAAATTAAACTTGGTTCAAGTTTAGGCTGAAATTAACGTGGTCCAAATGCGTTTATGTATTAACCTCCTCTCCTTACGCAAGGTTATTTTTCCATATATGTAGGCGATAAAAGTTGGGTTTCTTTATTGACTGTTGCACTGCAATGCACGACGTGATGCATACCAATCAGCTGCCTCTTTCTCCCCTATATGCATGCGTGTGGATGTATGTGGGAGTCACGCTGTGTGTGTAAGAGAGAGAAGAAGCAGCAGCTAGGGTTGACTGTTTTAGTGCGTAAATCTATAGGTCAGCCCCTCAGCTTCACAACCACGACACCACTGCTGTGTACTTGTGTTTGTGTCAGCTTGCCCACAAACGTAAGAAATCCACGAGCTTTTTAAAATTTTTTAAATGCCTGGGTATATTAAAGAAAGAAACTATTTTTTTACCCCTACGCGTAACGCCTGAAAAAGTCACTCGTATGTGGCAGTTTGCGCAGCCTAAACACTTCCCCGACATCTATAGATCCATCCATTTTCACAACAATGCCATTGGCTATAGGGAAAAACTACATTGCGTGACAAAAAGGTAAATATTCAAGCCCCTTGTGGAGGAACACGTGACCCATACTTTATGTGCTTCCAGCATAGTCCTCCCCCTCTAGTGCAGGCTTTCTACTTTCCTGCCTAAGCAGCCCCTTCGTGTTTTTTCCTTTCTTTTTTTTGCTTAACAACACTGTAGCAAAAAAATCTGAATGCTTTAAATATACAATGATCGAGCTGCTGTGTCGTTTTCCTTGCTTTATGGCTCGATCTAAAGACGTTTTGTAAGCTGCAAGGCGCAACATGGTGTAAAAGCCTGCGCCACTCCCCACAGTTAATGTGCACGTAGGCCATGGCAATGTTGGAGAGCCTCATAATGGCTGCCATGATGGCCCTGCACACTGCACGGCTATAGGCTGAATCAGATGGAGCAAATGTCCATACATGTGCCCGATGTGTCCAATCGGCAGTGTGTACAGCTGCTGCATGTGCTTGCATGTACTGAAAAAGGCCTTAAAGCGGAATCCTCGCCATATCAGCGAGATCAATACTAGTGCTGTTTGAATACGTATAGGTGTTCATTTTGTAACGCAGAGCCTGCCTCAACGTGACACGTGGAGGTGCAACTTAATAGTTTGCTGTTGTTGTTGTTGTTGTTGTTCGCTTGGTTTAAATACAGAATGCCTTAAAAAGTAGTGAATTTAAATTTGAAACCCTCCTCCCAGAAGTTCGCCACGATTTGTTTGGAGATTTTGCGACAGAAACGTTCGCCCAGATTTAAATTTTAAAAAGATTAAAATGCGTATTTTTGGTGTTCACTATAAGATTTAATTATCATAATTTACAGGCCTCCAGTTAATGCAAATGTCCCATCTTTTTCGTGTATAATTTATATTTTTTATTTTTTACATGTATTCAAGCTCTACGAGACATAATTGAAAATGCAATTTAGATGTAATAATATAGGACGATTCTACGCTGTTTGCTTTATTTATGGTATTTTCTAAATCTTGCATTTAAATAATTATGTTAACAACTGCCAGAATTCTCGTGGATTTAATTGCAGCTGAGCTCAATGCATATAGTTACACAGGTCTCATCAGTTTTTGTCTTGTTATTTAGGAAGCTGTGTGAGCTTTATGTCTCATCTTCAGGCCTGCTGACACTTCTTGGGTTTTGTGAGGCTGCTGTAGTTTCAGCTGCTGCTTGTTTATATATTTTTAGTTATGTTTTGTTGTGTAACAAGGTCCCTGTGCTGACAGCCATATATGGATTCACAGTTAAATTGTACCCGTTTTAAAGGGTAAAATTAAGATTGATTATGGTGACTTTTTAACTTTCTGTTTGCCAATGAGTGAAAGCCTGGGCCTTTTTAAACCTGTTTTAAATCACCTGAAAAAAACAAAGGTGTGAGTTTATGTGGTTTTGATGTCCTGTTTGCCATTTAAATATTATTTCACCTCTGTGCAGTTTATGTGTTCACATTTCAAATAGCTTTGGAGCTATGAGCTAATTTATAAGAATAAAAGTAGCTTTTGTTTTTATTTGGGGAAGTTTGGAAGCTTCTTGTCAGGGAAATGTTGAATAATTAGTTACAAATTTATAGTCATGTTTTAAAGAGAGTTTTTACAATTATGAGGCTTGTATCTGCTGAAACTGTTTGTTTGTAGCACTTTATTAGTGTTTTAAAATATGGATGACTTAATATAGATTTCAGTGTTAAGACAATTGTTACTCCAAATTTATATATTTATGTTAATGGACTCATACTTTAAATAATTTCTGTGTTTTACATATATATTTAATTGCCTTGACATGAGCTTGATATATAATTGTAGGTTTTAAAAATAATTGTTTATTGCAGCAATAATCAGTGGAACTCATGAAACAGAAATTCAGTATGCTTAAGAATAATCATTATTAGCCATATTTCTTTTATTATAGTTGCTTAATTTATATGTTCCTAATAAGAGTGCAATTGCAAAGGAAATTAGTTTGATATTATAATTAAGCAAAATATCTTTGTTGCATTTTGCTCATGTGTTTTGTTTTTTAATGGTGGCCTGTTTTTACACAAGAAATCATTAAAAAAAAAAAGAAGGTTTGTCCTCCATATTAAGTTTCTTGCAGTCGTTGCTCGTGCTGCACACGAGGCAGGAGAGTGGGACTTGGTGCTAATTGATATTGGAGCTTCATAAACCGTTTGCAGTGTTGCTTGTCTATCAAACTCGAGCTGGAGTTGCACGCAAAATGACCAATGTGAGCGCTTGCTGTGAGCCTGATCAATAGTCAGTCAGTGATAGTAAGCACATGAAGGTGGTGCTTGCGGAGTAAACACAATTAAAGCTGCCCTCCTGTAATATTATGCAGGTTTGTTTACTTGCTTGTTCAGTGACAAAAACAGACTTTTCCTCCTTCCAATTATCTCCCGGCACCTTCGACATGCCTAAATGAAAATGTGATACATTTGTGACCGAGTGCTAACTCTTGTGCTACACTCCACTGTCTTTCTAATGAGCTGTTTTGTGCTCTTCATCTACGTATTAAGCTAGCTAACAGTTGTTTAATAAAGCCAGGCCGATTACAAGACGTGCATTCTTTTTTTTTTTTTTTAATAATGGGATACTACGGCGTGGTGTAAACATCTGCATTGCACCACATTGGTGCCCGTGCAGATGTGTGTGTTGGGTTGTCTGTGCACACTGAGTCAAAACACAGAAATACGATAGCCATCAGTTGATCCACTCAGAATCCATTAATACTCCCCAGTTGATCCTGGGCGAAGGGGAAGCTCTCCAATTCAGGCTCTGGTTTTGTCTGGAGTGATATCAGGAGGTACTGTATTGCTCTCCTCCAAAGCCACATCCGCTGCACCCTCCTCCTCCTCCTGTCTCCTCTCACCTGTCCATAAGGAGTGATCCCTCAGAGTGATCTGTTTTATTTAGGAGGAGATGCCACACATGTTTAATCTTCCATACAAATGTATCCCCTATTGAGATCTTGTGTTATAAAAGTTATGGCTTATGAAATTGCTCTTCATTAGCAATTACAGGAGAAAAAAATGACAATTTTCTTCTTAGAAATTAGCCTTGGGCTTTTATTTTTTCTATGTTCAGGCTACTGCATTTCAAATTTCAGCGCCTCTACAACTCTGCTAAATTTGTATAGCAATTATTAACTTTTTCATGAAAGTGAAAGAGTATATTTTCTCTCCTGAAGTGATAACAGGCTTGCTAGTGCAACAGAGTACATAGCTTAAGGGAGCAGCGAGATTAGATGTGAGAGAATTGTGAGTTCATTGTGTGTCTATTGTAGCTGTGGGATCGCTGTTTAAGCTCCCTGAGAGTTTGAAACACCTTTTTAAAAAAGATTTACTTCTTTTTTTTTTTTATTATAACAGAAGCTTGCGTGTGTATCACAGCAGTGTCCGTAGAAACTCACTTCTCAATGAGCTACCACTCACATTTCACTGCAACCTGTTGCATGACTAACAGTTCCTGTAGCATTACACCCATTACAACCAGGATTTAAATAATCGGCTAGATGACTCTCCAGAGCCATAGTGAGGAGGTGTGGAAGGCGTGGCTGGAATGAGGAGGATTGCTCTGACTTGATGACTTATTCTCTGACTAAGCCGTCCAAATATGCTAGAAATAAGGGAAGTAAAACAGGACTGGTCACTATTTGGAGATGGTTTCACCTGAAGGAGAGTGTGACAGCAGGAGAAAGAACTAGAGAGGTGCTATGTAAGCATCTTCTAAATGGGAGATGAAGGGGACAGCTCTGTGTTTTTGTTTGTGACCTCACAATCGTGGATTGCTGCTGCAATTTTTATCACGATGAAATAAAAAGTGTAATGAAAAAGAAGTCTGTTGTGAAAGGGAAATGAAACCCTCACGATTAAAGACGAGAGGCTTAAAGTTGCCTTGAACTGAGACACCTGAAGACATTTTATTTCAATCTGTAAGTTTGTCCCTGAAGATATGCTGTCATTGGCTTTCTGTAGAAGATGATAGAAAAAGTTGAAGTTCTGAACTTAAAGTTGC